GAGAAAAAAAATTACATGGTCCTACTGGCTCTAAGAAGACTAAGACTTGACTCTGAAGATATTAATAAATAATAATATTCATATGGGTCTTGCATGCCCATATCTTCAGAATATTTGCTAAAAAACAAATGAAGACAAATTGCTACTGGCAGTTTAAAGGGGAGAGGATGACATTCTACATCTACGTGCCACATTATGTGGACTTCATAAGTTATGATTCATTAGAATCATAGAATAGCCTGGCTTGGAAGGTACCACTAAAGGACATCTAGTACAACCCCCCTGTAATAAGCAGGGGCAAGTTCAACTAAAACAGGCTGCTCAGAGCTCTGTCCAAATTGTCCTTGGATGTTCCCAGCGATGAGACATCTGCCATCTCTCTGGGAAACCTGTGCCAATGTTTTAACACTCTCATTGTGAAAATTTCTTTCCTATATCTAATTTGAGTCTACACTCTTTTGTATGAAACCATTGACTGCTATGCTGTTGCAACAGGCCCTGCTAAAAAATGTATGCCCATCTTACTTTTAAGTACTGGAAGATGCTCTAAGGTCTTGTGGAGCCTTCCCTTCTCCAGACTGAACAAGCTCAACTCTCTCATCGTGTTCCCACTGGAGAGTACTCCAGCCTTTGGATGATCTCTGTGCTTTCTGTAGATACTGCTGCACAGCCCTTTCTGCTGGGGAGTTTAGTCTGTTTGGATTCAGAGCCTGTTAGTAGCTTTACAACCCAGTTCATTCTCTTTGTTTTCTTACAGCTAGATATTAAACAAACCATTGACACAGTATACAATCCAGCATGTTGCAGTAATTCCAAAACAGGAAAATCCTTTCTTGTAGTGTGACAACTTTCCTCATTTTTGTGTCTGGCTGTAAATGAAATCAACCAGATGGTCCTCACTGATCTGTATTGTGTATGAGACATCTCAGTGCTTTTATGTCAGGGCACAAATTTGTTTCATCTAACATTGAAGAAAAGCAGCTCTTTTGTGTGTTTATTTGATGTTTGTGGTTCAGATTGCTGGCAGCATGCACAGTCCAAGAATGGCAGTCCTCCAGATTTAATATGATGCTGGGGATGACTACTAGAGGGAACTGAGATGAACTGAGGATGAAACATGAAAGTTGTGTTGTGATATTTTGTTAAAATGTTATTTTCGCCCACAGCCTTGCCAGAGTTAGGAAAGAAAATAAATGATCTGTCAACTGTTTGTCAAGATCTCAAGCTAGGAAAGACTGCAAACTGGAAAAGGCTGTATGCCTTGTAACCAAGAGTTCTCCAGCATGGCCATTCCTGGCAAAAATAAAGTGGACTTGAAAGACTTTCAAAGGAGTGTTGAGCAGATTCGCTTTGTCAAACAAATTACATGTTAAGACCTGTAAAGCATCCATAAAGGTCAAGTAACTTTTAATTCAGGCACATAGTCAAAAGAATAAAGCTTATATTTTAGAAATACATAACCAAAGAAATAATAAGCAGTTAAGATTAATATAATTTTTTAACAACAGGTTTCCAGGTATATAAAAGAAGTTGGTTGCCATTATCCCTATTTTACAAATGAGGGAACTGAGTTATCAGACAGTACTGTTCTTCCCAACAGCCTATTTGAAATAGAACAAAAATAATTAAATTCATGTGACTTGCTTTAACAATATCATTTATATTAAGATCAGAAAATAGAGCTTTCCTTTTATAGTTAGCAATAGATATTTTAAAAATAATGTTTCTTTTTGTGACTTGGAACACTAACAGCTTCATCCCAAACTCAACTAATTCTAGCAAAGTCATCTACTGGTCAGAACATCTATCATGGAATATCATGAGCTGGAAGGAAACCACAAGGACCATGCCTTGCACAGGAACACCCCAATAACCACATGAAGTCACAACTGTAACTGTTTGCATTATTCATCTGTAATTGCTGTAAATTCTGTCAGAAAAAAAAAAAAAAAAAAGGCAGTTCACTGAGTCACACAGACTTCCTGTGGTAGATCTCTTCACAGTAAGATGAATTGGCTTGTCTTGGTAGACAAGAAGAAAAGAAAAAGATTCAGCTTTAAACTGATTTTTGAAACCAATAGGTGTTTTTCCTCTGACTCATTTCATGTTTGGAGTATGGCTAACTGGTTGGAAATAGCACTTGAGAAAGTGTGTTCACTTGAGAAAATGTGTGTGAAACTCGTGCTCACATCCCTCAGCAAGAAGAACAGGAAGCAGAAGGGCTTTGTGTGGGCCAGGCTGGGGTAATGAAGGTGAGAGATGAGCCTGAGGAGAGCAGAAAACTCCCAAAACCTCTCGTCATGAACTTTCTTCCCCACGCTTGTTTAAATGAATAAATTAAACAAATTCCTATGTCTTCATTAGAAATCCAGCTGATATATTTTTCCTGCCAAGATGATGCCTTCTTCAGTAGCATCTTTGTTGCATATTTGTGCCTTGATTTCTGCCTTCTATGTTCAAAAATAGACTATTGTCCTGCTGACCAGCTGCTCCTTTGGTAAGTAAATGTTCTAGAAAGATTTAATAGAAAACAACTTATGATTTTTTCAATACTTTCCCACACACCCTGAGTTTCTTTTTTTTTCTGCTGCATTCTTCACAAATATCAGTTAATATCTGCACATTTAATCACTTAACTGTGTCATTTATGTATGCAAGTGGAATTTGCTACTTAATTCCCTGTTTATTGCAGAGATACTTGAGAAGATTCAGGGCATATAGCTTATTTTGTGTTCAGCAGAGAGTTCTTCCAATTCTGACCTGGATCCTCATAAAAAAGAAAGGAAGGATACCTTTGTTCCTTTCTTAGTGGTCTATCAAAATGACAGATTTTTCATGTGTTTGCTGGCATACAAAGTTCACAGGCATTTTCAAGTTCCAGTCAGTGAATTATCAAGCCTAACGGAGGAAGCAGACAAAGGGGATAGATGCCATTTTTCTAACAATTCAAATTCTTTTTGCCTTTCCTTGAGTCACCTTCAGCTGTCCATCCAGTGTGATCCTGAGACACAGAGTGAGGCTGTGCCTCCTGCTGCACCACATCAGCTGGAGATCCACGCAGTAGCGTGGTTTTACTTCAATGCATCAGCAAGAGTAAAGACTTTGCCAGGATTCTGGTACAAATGTCAGGGTAATAACAGAGTTACATTGGGGAAATTATCTCTTTTCAGTGCCTAGAGACTTTAGGGGCCTTGCTGTGTTTTAGGGTTAATGCCAATGTTAGGAATAACCCCACAGTCCATAGAGAGGAAGGAGGTTGTGAACTATGAACTATTCATGACTACAGTCTGTGCAAGGGTGTTTCTGGAAAATGGTACTTTTTGTTTTGCACTCCACAATGGGAAGGTGAGAAAAATCTCAATGATTTTAATTTCTAGGGGAAATGCTATAAATGACACATAAAAGTTGAGATCCTTTAATAAAGGGCGAAAATGAAGTTATGAGAATGTCTTGCAGGAGAGTGGAAGACATTTTTACAGGAGGGATGGAGAGATTTTCACCTAATAAAAGAAATCCCTTTTAGTTTTCACACTCCCTGAGCGTTCTCCAAATTTGCATTGGCATTTCTTTCACAGGCACTAATGTGCCAGTTGAGAGAATATTCTTGGTAATGAATGACATTGAACTGATGACAAAGCAGAAAGTGAGTACTGAAAGGGAAGAAAATAAAAAGGCTAGTACAGTTGTTAAGATGAAACACCTGCTGTGAGTGCCATGAAAGGCTCCTGGGGAGCAGGCAGCTTCTGAACAAATAATTTCTGAGGAAAGATAAAATATCCTTGTCTGCTGACAAGGCCACCTTTCCTTCCTCTCCTCAGTCTCTTTCTTATGGATTACTCTTTTCATGTCCATGGATTTTTTGGCACATTATTAACAGCTTGAAATACCAAGGTTGCACAGAAATGGGTTTTGTTTCAGACTGCTACCTAACTAATATTTCTTATTTTTTGTGTCTTGTTGCTTTTCAAGCAAACATATTCTGTCTGAACACTTCATATAAAATTCCAGCAAGCCACTTTGTAAATCTCTAAGATATGTTAAGAGTCTGACCACAGTTTCAAGACATTACTCCAAAGGTCATTGCTGCACTGTCTCACTAGTATCACAAAATATCTTTTCCTAGAAAGGCAAAAAGCTGAAGCTTGTCTTGAGCAATCCATTGTATCTCAGCTTATAATTTCCTCTTTTTAAAAGAAATAGGATTCTTTCCTTTCTAAATGCAAAGAAATTTTTACAAAAGACATCCTCTGAAACCTGTCCCCAACAAAACTTCTCCTTGGCTGGCACTTTAAGCCCAGATGCTACTGGCACAGCCTTTCTTAAGTGGGTGTGATGACACCAGCCTAACAGATGGGCCTATGGAGAGCCACCATGTACCTCAATATTGAGTATTTCAGAAACAGAGTTCCACCAAGAAGGGTTTGGACGGCAGTCTACTCAGAAAAACATTGGCAAAGATCAAGGAGACGTGCAGCCTCTGGTACTCTGGTTATCAGCTGAGTTATTTGGCTTCAGGTACAAAGTAAAGCATGCTTTGGCTCTCACCAATGATAACTAGTATTTTGCCTACAAATGAAAGAGTGAGAAGGAACAGTTTGACTGCTCTGTTGTTGATTTGAAGATCATGCCCATGGAACCTGGCCTAAGGGCCACTGGAGGTTTACTGGAGTGACTTCCCGCTGCTCTGAGCCATTGTTTTTCCCAAAGACTTGAACTCTGTCAGGATCTCAGAACACTTTACCTAGGAGTGCTGCTCTCTTTTCAGTAAGTTCACCAGCCAGACTGAATTGCTTTTTAGTCATAACCAGGGCAAGAGTAAGTAGGGGGATAGAATATAAGTAAATAAAGGTAGAATAGAAAGTAATCTTATCCCCTAAAGCGTTGCAGCTGGGTTAATTAAAGATTAGGAGCAGACCTGAGTTTAACAGGCCACAGGCCACAGCTGTAGCCAATAAGAAGAGTGTTATAAAAGAGTGTATTGGTTGGCTGAGGGGAATTGCAGTCAGTTGGCTGCTGTGAGGACAAGGAAAAGTCAGTGCCTGGAGGAACTGCCTACAAGAAACATCAAGGAGGTATGAAACTCTAGCAATGTGTAACCCTTGTGATGTAATGACAACAAGAGTAGGTATCACCTAGGCAGAATACCCGGTAACTTTTTGGCCTGATTTATTTTGGCTAGTATATTTAAGTACTATGGTAATTATTTTATTAATAACAATGACATGTAGATTTATATTTTCAAAAGAACAGGAAAGAGAATCATTGTAACTGTTCTATGGAGCTAACAATTAGAAATGCTGCTTTAATATGGTAACAAAAGCCTTATGCTGTAACAACAGGTGTCTCCCTCAGGAGTCTGTGTTGGGACCAGTGCTGTTTAATATCTTCTTTGGTGACATAGGCAGTGAGATTGCCTATTAGAAAACTTGCAGAGAAAACCAAGCTGAGGGTTGATGGACATATCTGAGGAACAGGATGTCATCCAAAAGGACCCTGACAAGAATTGGTCCCACGAGGTTCAGCAATGCCAAAAACAAAATCCTGTGCCTGTGTCAGGTGTCAATTTATGCTGAGAGAAGATGTGTGAGAAGGAATTGGAGATACTGGTGGATTAAATACTGGCCATGAAATGACAATGTGTGCTTGCACAGCCACGCCCACGGCTGCATCAAAAGAAGAGGGAGGGGATTCTGCCCTTCTCTGCTCTGGTGAGACCCCACTTGTAGTGCTGCATCCAGCTCTGGGGTCCTCTCAGTAGAAGACAGATGTGGACCTCTTGGAGTGGGTCCAGACAAGGGCCATAAAGGTGATTTGGGGGCTGAAGCACTTCTCCTATGAATACAGGCTGAGAGAGCTGGGTTTGCTCAGCCTGGACAAGAGAAGGGTGCAGGGGACCTTACTGTGGCTGTTCAGTACTTAGAGGAGTCTTGTAAGAAAGATTGGGACACGCTTTTCACTACAGCCTATTGCAGTAGGATCAGAGGTAATGGTTTTAAACTAGAAGAGGGTGAATTCAAATTAGACATAAGGAAGATACATAAGGAAGATGTAGTAGATGCCCCATCCCTGGAAATATTCTGGGCTCTGAGCAGCCTGTTCTATTTGAAGATGTATCTGATAATTGCAGGGGGGTTGGATGAGGGGACATTTAGAGGTTCCTTTCAACCCAAAGCATTCTATGATTCTGACTCATTGAAATACCTCTCACGTAAGTAGATCTGGTGATTTTAGTAGATCTTTTCCATTAAAAGTTATGCATAAATGCAATAATTAATGGCTTACAGTGCTGAACCATTGTAATTTTTTCAAGAAAGAGAAACTGTATTTTGTTTCAAGAATTCCTTTAATATTAGAAGTCCTACACAACATTCTTGACAGAGTTTTGTAAAAAAAGTGGATTCACATTCATTCCAGGTGTAATTCCAGCAAAGCTGCATTATGGATTAATTTATTCTAAAAATATTTTCAGCACATTCAGAGTTGACCTATTTTGACTAGATAATTTCAGAGTTATCATATCAGTTATTTAATTCCTTGTTCTTGGCTCCTGAGCTGGAAAAGATTTGTATCCTTGTATTGTCCTTATTTGCAACAGAAAAGTAAGATGGTTTCTCTGTGTTTTTTTTTCCCGCTGCAATTCACTAAATATTTCGTTTTATGAAAATTTTAGCTTTTACTTGCATCAACTGTGCTATTTTATCCTGCCACCTGAGGTCATTTCAATTACATCTGAAAAATGGGTTACAATAACCAAATGAATTGCATTCTTTTCATAAGTAATTACAATGCAAATTTTGAGTATTATATCCAGTTTTTTGGAAATAAATTGGACAGACATCTATTTTCTTGAAATACTTTTTGAATACTTGTTGAAGGAAAGATACAAATGATTATATAGCAACTGAAAGTAAATTGATGACAGCAAATGGCAGTTGAAGAGCATGTTTGTTCTGTGCAGCACTGAGGTTTAGAAGTGACTATGCATGTTTTCAGCAGCCCAAAAAGACAAAACAAAAAAGATCTTTCTAAGAACATTTTATAATCTATCAAAAAGAGAATTCTCGATTTGGACCAGATACAAGCAACTACCCACTTGCAGAAAAAAAATTCATTTATTGCTCTTATGTTCATGACAGTGACCTAGAAGAATAATTTTTCCTTCCTCTATTTAAATCTGCATAAAAAGTTGCCATCCCATGCTTAGGCCTTGGCAAATTGGGAATATGTGTGTGGTACTCGAGTTTAATATTTAACGCTTGTCCAAATTTCACCTATGAAAACAAAACTAATTTCTGAGAGAGAAATAAATCTCACACACTCCAAAAAAATTTCACCAGCCAACACCTTCCTCTGCCTCCAAAGCTGCAGATATTGTTTCCTCTGTTTTACCCAACTTTTGTAGGAAGATTGGAGGAAGAAGCTATCTGTAAAATTGTACAAATTTCTCTATTACCATGATGACAATACAGAGAAATGGGCTTCACTCAGTACAATATTTAGAAATGTAGCATTTTAAAACTTTATCTTTTGCAATACACTTATTAAAAAATTATTGTATCTAATAGATTAATAATTGCAATCAAAGACAATAAGGTCACAAAGATCATATGGTGAGCTGGAATGAGACTTTAGGGTTTTTCAGTTCTGGGAAATCACTTAATCACCAAATCATTGTTTCTAACACTGTTAGCTTCCACATAAGTGTATGGTTTAGCATCAGTCTCCGGCATATTGGCACTTAAAACATTTATTATGATTCTAAATAGGAAAAAGCTTCCTGAAATGAATCTGCTAACAAATAGGATTGTACAATCAAACTAAGTACTGTAAGGCAATTTTTTATCTGTTTTTGTGTAATCAAGATAACAGCTCTTCTCTAGCCCTAGATAGGGTCCCAAAATTCAAATAATCCATTTAGTTGAAAAAACACCCTGCCTTTTTCTTTCCTGTGGGATCTCAATGTAAGTGGTTGCTTCATCAGCATAGCATGTGCCTCTTCTACAGGACCGCTGCAACCTTGCTCAAAGCAAACTTGAAAGGTTGCTATAACATGAAGTTTTATCATGCCATAAATGTTCTATGGCAACAGGAAAATAATCCTTAATATCAGGATGACTCAGAAGCCTGTCACCCTAAATTGACTACAGAATAAGACGCAACCTCCTCCCATGGGTGTCTGCATGTGAATAGACTTCCCAAGTGTCCAGGGTACTTTTGTGAAACAGAACTGAATATGGAAACGCTCCCACATTGTCATTGTTAGTAAAGTACTTGGAACATTTATTCTGAGGAACTTCAGACTTTTAATGTTAATAGGTACAAAATCAAAGTTGTCACCCTTTAATAGCCAGATTCACCAATCAAAACCGGAATATAATTTCAGGTGTAGGGGTATATTACCACAGTTCCAGTGAAAGCTTATTTTGAAGTCTCAATTCAGTCTGAACTTTTTCTTTAGAGGACTATTTTTGACCTCTAAAGCAGCAAATAGGTTAAAAATCTGAGCAGTATAGTTCTGTATAATGTCCATGTTATGTAACTTTTCAAACATTGGAAGAACAAAAATATCACATCTGGGACTTAAACTTTTTATTATGTTTTCTGTTGAAATTATTAAATGATTTGTGAGTGCTTTTACAAGAACTGAACTTCCTAAGAATATCTTGGTTTTGCTTAATCACACTCATTCTTGGATATGGATAATGTTGCTGAAAGAATTAATTTTCCTAATATATACATGTTCACACAGGTATTTACTAAAATATTGTGTTTGCATTTTTGTTTCCTAGCAGGAGGGAAACTGTAAAATGTTTTCCTTTGTACCAACCATTACAAGTTAAAATTAGAACTAAAAAAATACCCAGTTCAGGAAATTACTTTAAAGCTTGTTTATTTTTCAGTAGCAAACAATTTTCCTCTTAAAAATACTGGATAAAAAGTTAATGTATTAATTAGACTAGCATATGATCTTCTAATTTCCAGTTGGACAACTTTGTCTTTCACGCTTTGGGTTGTATCACTTGATCACAATTTGCTTATGCTACTGTTTGAACCCATCTTGCCAAGGCCTGTAACAACATTTTACTCTTTAGAGCTTTTAATGTTCAGCTTACAGTTCCTGGGTGACATCCAAAACCATAAAGTGACAGTTGTTTTCCAAGTTGTATTTACAGCTTTAAATCCATTAATGACTCCTCTGCTGTTTCTTCTGTGACTTCAGCTGTTGTATGACAGAAAGAGGCAGGCAGAGTTCCTCTGCTCCTCAAGAATGTAATATGCCACGGCTCATTTCAAGCAGCATCTCCACAAAATAAACCTTTATAGCAGGAACCAAGTGTAGCATCCACGAGTGGCATCTGGAAGCCTGTGATACGGAGAAAATAAGGTTGGAGATTGTTATTCCCCAGAGCATTCTATGCAAAGGGGATTAGACTATGCAAGAATGACTTAAAGTACCACAGGTTTTGTGGTGCAGAAGCCTGGCTTTAAATCCTATATATCTGCAGCCATGTTAAAATGCATAATGTTCTTTTAATCTCTTCCTCTTGATAAAAGAAGAAGAAATCAGCAATGAAAATAATTTTACATTTGGTGAAACAGTACAAAGTACTGCTGGAAACACTACAAAAGTGGAATGAGACCCAGTCTCTGGAGACCAGTAATACTGCATTTCTGTAAGCCTCTTGATCAGGTCTCTCAGATGGTGAGAAACGTGTCCATCTTCTATTTTATAAAAGCAGAAAAAATAGAATTACATAGAAAAGCTGTCAGTGACATGTGGAACTGTATGACTATGAGTAAGCAGAGAAAATAAACTCAGAATATAAAATTAGTCAAAGAATCATGAAATTACATCAAACTTTAATTAACCCTAAAAGAAAATTTTTGTTACCCAAGTTTCTCTAAAACATTTCCTTTTCTGAAAGACGGATTGATGGAATTCTCATAGTGAAGACATCGAAAAACAGGTTAAATAAGTCAGGCAAAGATCCATTGTTGGTAATAATTCTGTTTTGAACAAGGAAGTTCAATAAAATATGATTATTTTCTACTTTGATAAGTGAAATAAAATAGCATGTATTGCATAGTACAAATATATTAGTTATTGTCCAAATAGTCAAACTGGAGTCAGAAATAATTTCTGTCTTCCTTTGTAATGAGCAAATAAAAACAATAGCTAACCCAGAAATTTATATTGATAGCCCCTACAAGTAAAATTAACCCAGATAGCATTAGTACTTGCTCCTAACTTTTTGACATTTGTAATTTTAAGTTCTAAAACTGAGTTAACATGAACCTGTCCATCTGCTTTTTCTTCCCTGCTGCAAAGGGGTATTGGTGTCTGGCTGGGACAGAGTTAATTTTCATTGGAGGAGACCATATGTGGCTGTGTTTTAGCTTTATGACTAAACCAGTATTGATAACTACACAACGTTTTGACTGTTACAGGTGCTAACACAGCATCAACACCTTCTCTGTTTCTCACTCTGCTTGTGCCCCACAAGTAGAAATGCAGAGGGAAAGGTATTATGAGGGAGCCCAGCTGGGCCCGGTGACCCCACATGGCCAAAGGAAAATTCCAGACCGTATAATGTCGTGCTTTGCAATATAAACTGAGGGAGTAGTTTTAACCAGCTAGTCTTTGCTCAGAGACTAACTGGGCACCAGATTGTTTGTGGGAGGAGCTGGGCGATCAGGACTTGTGGAGTTTTTTTTTCCCCTCTTTCCTTTACCTATTAAATTCTTTTTAACTGGATCCACAAGTTTTTCTCACTTTTGCTCATCATATTCAGTTCCCTATCCTACAGTGAGGAGGGGAGAAAGTAAGTGGCTGTGCTGAATTATAGTATTTACTCTCTTTCAGTTAAAAAAAACCCCAAAAGTTATTGCCTGCAAAAATAATAATAGCTTTCTGAAAATAATTGCATGATTTTGTGGATATCTGCAGTGCACCATTTTTACACTGCCCAGGAAGTATTCTCTTTTGCATAAGAATCTCATTAAGTCCATGCAATAGTATGCAGGTGGTCTGGAAAAAATGAGAATCCGAAGTAAAATGTTTTTTATACAGAGAGGTAAAACTTTTTCCACAAAAGGAAATAATGAGTTAAAGGGAAAAGTCAAATGCGAACTATTGGAAAACTAATCCTTGATCTGCCTGTAAAAATAAACTTAGCAGGGGTCATTGTTTAGTGTAAGTGTTGTTATATAAGTATTGTTATGTTAAGTTTAAATATTGTTACCCAAGGAAACTACTTAAGCATTCTCTTTCTACAAAAACTCCAAACCCCCACAAAAACAAACAAACGCCAACACCCCCTAAGCAAAACAAATGGAAAAAAGACCTAAATGTTCCAGAATTAACTCATAATGTTTTGTTTTCATACCTAAGAACCTGATGGCAACAGAATTTGAGAAAGATTAATGCTTGGTAAAACAAACATATAGAGAAAACAAGAATCAGTGAGCGTTTCTCCAGGTTCACAGTTCATCTGTGGCACAATACTGAAAAAAACCCCCTTTTTATATTTACCCAATACTGTACAGAGCCCTTTAAATGTGTGCAGTTACTTAATGATTGTGCTCCATTTTGAATTAGTATGGTTTTTCCTGAAACTGAAAACAAAATCTATGAAAATGGTGCTTTTCTCCAGAGGAATAAATGCAGGACTGAAGCGAGGATTTCTGCTGTACGCTAAGAATAGAATCTGAATATAATTTTTTTTTGTGAGATGGAGAAAGAAATTATATGACAGAGTGGATCATCTGCATTTACTAAAAATAGCCATTTCTCCAAAATAGTGTCTTTACTTAAGTATTTCTAAAAGCTGTTTAGAATTACTCCACAGAATGGATACTACTACTGTTTCAGAGTCAAGTTATGCTTTTCCAAGGTATATTTCAGCAGAATTGGTTGGTTGGGTAGTATAATCTTATGAATTTTTTTCAATAATATAGTTGGAATTTTGTTCAACATCTCTATTTTATTACTGCATTGATGGAGCACTCTGCATAATTGTTGACTATTTTCACAAAGAGGAATTTTGACTGCGTGCTGTTAGAATAATTGTAAAGCATGGCTCTAATAATTACTTTTTTTGTCACCTGTGTGGAAATTGTATTTCATTCACCTACAATGTGGTGTCTGACACAGACAATGGTATAGTACATTAACAACTTATGGAAACTGATTATTTGCAGCATCTGAGAGAACCATGTAAGTCACTCAAGGGTCAAAATAAATCTTAGAAGTCTGGACTTTGTGTTGAAGACTACGTGTTGGTATAAAATCAGGTTGAAAATATGTAACCTGGTTTGATATTCAAGGGCCTCAGCCCCTAGATGATGCTGAGATTCCTTCTCATTTCTTCTAGGTCACTGCCACGCTAGGCTAGGTGGAAAAATAGGCACCAGTCTTTATTTGTGCTTTGACACCTGGTATCTCTGAATTGCTGTTATTACTAAAAATGAGTGTATTTTATTACTTCATAACAATAGAAATTCTCTCCCTCATTAGGCCTGTGGTGAAAAAAGGTTCAAAATGCTTCTGATTTTGAACAACTGCAATTTGCTACCTTGCACAGTAGAGTGCTTGAATTTAACTTATTTAGTTTCATGGTAAGAAACAAAGGAATGATTCATAGTGTTGCAGAGATTGTCTCTGTGTTTTCAAAAGGGAAAAAGAAGCATAAATTATTAATACAGCTGTCAGATTCCTTGACAATACTTTATCTCTTGTAACTCTTAAATAAAACAGCCATTTTCTCACATTGAATAATTTCTCTACTTTGTTCCAGTAAACAAACAACATTTTGCGAGATATAAGAATTTTTAAAAGATTGCAGTTTACTTACTGCAAGGATATTGACAAAAACAGTCTTTGCTATTTTTATGAAGACGAATATAGGTAAAATCAAGAGTATGATCTTCCACAGAAATGAAACTGTTAGAGAATTGTTTCACAGTGCACTATTCAGTACCTAGCTAAGCTTTGCATCTTACAAAAAGATATCTTTGGAGAAATAAAACTCATACAGCATTAAGATGGTGATTGTCTTAAAATGCTATTTCACTTCAGCCAGGCAAAACCTATCAAATTGGGTTGGGTTTTATTTCAGCGTGAAGAGCAGAGTTACAAAAGTATTTGGATGCCAAAAGATGCACCAAGAATGAAAATCCATGGATTTTTTTCCAAATCTAATGGTTATATGGCCCAGCTCAATGAAATTAGTTCTGGCTTCAGAGCTGCATTCATTAAATATGATGGTGAAAGTACATCAGTAACACTTTCTTTTGCCATCTGTGATCTCTTTGGTTGCTGTCAGAGCTGGATGTTTTGCTACCAGCAGGATCACAAACTCAGTGATTTTGGATCTAGATCTGTGGTTTGCTTTCTTTCTTAAGAATAATAAGCAGCAGTGAATGCTAAAATCTACTCAGGGTCTCTGAACTGTTTAGGAAACATGATTGAAATAGACTGACAAAGGAGAAAATTCAGTCTTGACTGCTTAAACAAGTACTGTAATTTTGTATAGACAGTGTGAACAACTGCAGTTAGAATGAGTGAAAAAGTTCTGCAGGCACTGGGCATTACTCAAGACAGTAAGAAACTCCTGAATCAGAAACATGGATATTGCACAAACCAACTGTGTGATTTTTATAATGGTGGCACTACTGTAAAATGTCATTTGCTCATATCTCCAAAATGACCCTTTATTATTAACTTTATTTATTCAATTATATCAAAACATCTCTACTTAAATAGAGATGCAACAAGTGCAGCGTTTCCACTCTGCACTTTTTTTCAGAGTTAAACCTATGAAGAGAGGAAACATTTAAATGAAATTTAGGTTTAAATAATGGGAAAAATACAATACCTTAAATACACTGCACTTCCTTCAGAGATTTGTCTTGGACAGTTGATGATAGGAAAAAAACCTGACAAGTAAAATGAATAACTAATTACTCTTCATCTTTTATATAAGCTCATTGGACATGTTTTTTTTCCGAAGTTACTTCATGTTTAATCATGATAAACTTTTGTTTGTTGGTACCTTAGTTAACAGCCAAGGGCAATTTAACAGCTTTCTTTATTGAATAATTTAGAAGACCCAAAAAGTATTGTTTTATGTTGAATGAGGTATTATCTTCATCCCCCAGAGAGAGCTGTCATTTGGATTTCAGCACATTTTTTCTGGTATAGATTTCCTTGTGGGTTTTCTTGATTACTGAGTTGAAAGAAATGTTAGAAGTGTAGTTCAAACTGAAACATAGAAAGTACTCAACATTCTAGGACATTTTGTTGTCTTAATTTTGTTTTCTCTCTTTCAGCTATTTGACAAAATTTAGGAAGAATGAGCAAAACATGTTGATGGTTCTGAGGTTTTTTGATAAAAGAACTTATTTGAACCACAAACTTACACTCAGGGTCTCTGTTACTTCTGTAGATTAGTCAAGCGAATGTGCCTTTGAATAGTGGTTTTCTGTTACTTTTCCTTTGTGCTATTTAACAAAATTGAGTTGTGGGTCATCATGTTTTTTGTTTGACTTTTGTGTAACTACTTTCAGGCCAAGAAATGGACCCTTTGGCAGCAGAGTTTGGACAGTATCTGTGGGAGGAAGGCAGAGGTAAAGACACTCTTTTTGAAAATCAGGAAGTATATTAAATTAGTTGTTGCTTCAACTCAGTTTTACTTCCTTGCTTTGGTTGGGAAGGCTGGAAGAGGAGAGAGAAAGGAAGAGTCAAGCATTTATGAATATTATTTCCTGTTAATAGTTCAGCCTAAATAGTGCATAGCAATGGCTGATGAACTTACAAATATGGAGGCTTAATGTGAAAAAACCCAAAAAATACAGCATCAGTGGTAGCAGCTTATGACAAACTTTGAAATGTCTAATAAGCTGCTATCAAAAAGTCAAAGCAAGCAATTGTCTGCGCACAAAAATGATCTGTGAAAGGCAAGAGGGTTAGTGAGGGTGTTTCAGAGATAACAAAAAAAAAAAAACAAATCAGAGGAAAAGAAAAGATTCCCTTTGAAAAAGAAGACGACTAGCCACCTTTAAAGAGGAAGATATATGAGAAACGCTCTTTGCCTTCACCTCTTATCTGTCCTTATACACCTACCATAACCAAACTGGTGGATGTTGGCAATACAGATCCTGCACAAAGCTGATTAGTTTTTTTAAAAGCTTCTTGATTTGTGTAATTCATGTTTGCAGTGATGTCTTGCCCAGCCTTTCTGAGGGCTGTGCAGATGAGACAACCAGAAAGCTGAGGCAAAACTTCCTGACATCAAATGGAGGTTTTTTGTTGTCTTTAGATTAATTATCTAATAAGCTCCTGGGGAGGTAAATCCAATACAGGCTTTAAGAGGTTTGGCTGTAGAATAATTAGTTTGCCTAATTTGCCTTAACATTTTTGTGGCTCAATTCAGATGGCTCTTGCTTCAGGAAAAATTTGGCTTTGTCTGATCTTGGAGGTTTTCCTGGAGCCACATTCTCAGCACACAAGTTCCTGACTTCCTGTACAGCCCACATGAAGGAGAACTGTACTTTCACCTTTGAAAACAATTTAGAAAATGATAATGGAAAGTATTGCTAATCACAGAATGGCTGAGATTGGGAGGGACCTCTGGGGGTTGTCCTGCTACAAGATGTTCCCTCTCTAGCAGGGCCTCCTAGACTCCATGGCTGGGGAAAATGCCCAGGTGGCTTTCAAACAGGAGCTGGACTCCACAACATCTCTAGGTGACCTGTGCTGTGTTTGGTCATCTGCCTGGTATAAAACTGTGACATTTCCATGGAGAAGACCTGCTGCAAGTGATTGTATGTAGCATTGGAAGCATTGTAATGTGAAGAGGAATCCATGATAAAACACCAGCTGTTTACTGAGGAAAAGGCTTAGGTATTACTATTGCTGAAAAAGAACGTCTGCTTTTGAAAGAGTGAGGACTGCAAAGCCCAGCTTGGTTCTGGTCACTGGCAGTAACTGAACACGTGCTGCAGCTGCTGATGTGCCTCTTTTGTGGGGTTTTTATCATGTTGAGTTTTATATCAGGTGTTTTTTATCATGTTGTGGGTAAGCTGAGTGACCAGTAAGTGTCCTCACATTTGAAAGCATCACTAAGAGTGAAAAAATGAATAAAACACTTATTCTGCCTGTAAGTTTGTATTAAAGCAAAGACATGAATCAAAACACTCATTTGTCAGCAAAATTACTTCCTGCTAAAAAAGGTAGATGGGTGACAGTAAAGACCAGTAAAAAACATTATTTTTCTTCAGAAAGTTCAGAATTTAATGAGACCAGGCAAAAAAAGGATTCATGTGGTGGGAAAAGTTTAATGCTGACATTTCTGGTAGGCTTAAAATAGATGCTGAAAACCTACTAATTTTCTGTGATGTGGTATGGTGCAAGTATCTAAATGGAGCAGGATTCTCAGGCTTATGTAGGTCCTAGTCTCCCTGATTTTTGGGCTATTTGGAGATAAATGATAGCCCAATTGTTTTTAAAGATTATCAGAGCATAAAAGAATCAAGACTTTTAAGGCAAAAAAAAGAAATATTTTGATGGATTCAAATACATTAAATTGAAACTCCACCACAAGGAATTAAAAAAATAATCTCTATTGTTCTCATATTGTTGAATGAAAATTACTTTTTAATAAGATTTTTAACAAAAGGCTATCTCTAATCTTGAAGTATCTATTTCTAAAAAATATTTTATGGTAACAGGTAACAATTTTTTTCTTTTTGGTATTTAATAAAGACTATCAACTGCTTGCAGCTTTCAGTAAGAGACTGTTTTGAATCAAGGAAACTAGAATTACAAAAGAAGCCATTGAATAATCTTCATACAAAAAGAGCCTCTGGAAGATACTGTGGTCATGTTTTATGACCCTAATCTTTCAATTACATCTGCATGGATTGGGGTCTCGGCCTACTAGATTAAATTCTTAATGTGTGGAGGCAATTCTTTCTGCAGTCATTTTTATCCACCAAAAAGCTGGTTTTCATTTAAAGAAAGATGATTGATAGCTAGATATGTGTGAAGAGAGCTTTGTTCACAGGGAAGTACGATTCATGGTTCACCTCACATGCTAGAAGAGACCTTGAATGAAATTCTCAGTATGTATAAAGTTGAGAGCAATGTAGGAACCACATCAGTGTGTGGAATTTGAATAGCCTGTGGTGGTTTGGTTCTTATATACTCCTTTTTGGGACAGTGGCAGATGCTGAGATACAGGCAGCAAAAACCAACTCCCCATTGCAGCTTGTCGTTATGCTTAAATTGTGGAAGAAACTGCTTACAAATAATTACCTCCACACACTTTCTTTATATCTCTATTATCTTTATAACAGAGAAGAAAGGGCTTCCAGACTGAATTGTCTCTGAAAAAGTCTCTCCCTCACTAAAGCCAACAGCTGCTTTTACTCCCTGATCTATGTGTGTATCTATCTATCTATCTATCTATCTATCTATCTATCTATCTATCTATCTATCTATTTATCCATGATTTAGAGTTTTCAGTGGTGATTTCTGCTATTTTATGTTATTCACAAAATGGCAAGTCTACAGTTCTGAGTTGACTCACAGCCACAAGGGTTTTGCTGTTGCATAAGGGTACATGCATGCCTACACCTCAGGGTTTGACAGCTACAAATGCATGTCTGCCCTGGTTTCAGCTGGGATAGAGCTCATTTTCTCCTTAGCAGCAGGTCCAGAGCTGTGTTTTGAATCTGTTATGAGAATAATGTTGATAACATACTGATGTTTTGGTTGTGGCTAAGTAGGGCCTCCACCAAAGTCCTTACCTTAAGTCAAGAACTTTTCAGGTTCTGCCAGTGAAGAGGTGCATGAGAAGCTGTGGGGGACAAGGTGGCCTGAACTGGCCAAGGGATATTCAATACCAGAGGTTGTCATGTTCAGTATATAGGTGGAGGGAACTGGCTGGGAGGGTCCAATTGCTGCTGTGCGACTGGTTGGGCGCTGGTCAGTGGTAGTGACCAGTGGTATTTTCAGATGATATTCTGGGGGAATTTTTTCATCTCTCCTGCCATTGTCCACAGAGTACAAATAGCAACAAAGCAGGATGGCACAGAGGCAGCAAGCATAGTGCTGTCACCTGTGCCCCTCTCAGGAGCTCAGTCCCTTCCTTTCATATTCATAAGCAAACATCTGAAGTAAATGCCAAATCTTGTTGATTGCTCCTTTATCCAGGGCTGGTCTGCCTCAGGCAATTCAAACCTCTCTCACAAGTGTATCCTTGAAATGTCTAGTTGCTTGCTACAAATAAAGTGAGGACAAATATTTCAGAAGTTTCTGTTCAAACATTTATATTTGTTCAGGTGAACTTCATCTCAAAATGAAACCATAGTAATGATAATAGGTAATAACCATATTTTTCCATAAGCATAAAAGAATGGACATTTTCTCTTATCTAATGATGCACTTTGAGCCATTCCAGAAATTTTATGACTTCATTGGCATTTAGTTTCCAAGAGAACATGGAAATGTTAAACATTTATACAGATAAGTCCATGACTAATGTGGTTCTCATTCAAACATTGCATATTGTATGATCTTGGAAAATTATGTACTCAAACCCACAAAGAACTTGAGAACAGGATAAAATTTGAAAATAATTTCACATTTTTAGTGTGATTCTTTCTTTAACTGACTGCAATGAACAACTTACTTAGTGTCTATGCTAACAAAACCCAGTCTGGTTTACTGCTGAATTTAGTGGTTGAGTTTCATTTCTTGCCTCACAACCTCAAGTACATGCAATTCTGTCCAAGTGTCTAAACCTTAAAATGTGCTAAATTTCCATGTAGACAAAGAAGAGCTTCGGGACATTCATACAATGTCTGCTGCCTGCCCGAAATATTTCTGAGCTAGAAGCTTCTGGTAATGGCTCTGTAGTTCCATAACAATTGTTCAATTCTTGCAAGGTAACATGTAATGTAAAAATGTGTCTCTCTCTTCTTCACAAGAGAAAGAAAAACACAACCAAATAACCCCCCCAAAACGGGGGAAGAATGTACTTTGTGTCAGACAATAAAGGAACTTATTAACTTCTCCCAGTTTAAATTCCTGAGTCATTGAAGCTTCTAAATCAGAATACCTCATCACTTTTAAGAAATTTAAGAAAATATCTTTTCCATGCTAAAAATGTCTTGCTGGGGAAAAAAAGCATAATTCTCTGTGTCTGTTGCCTCCCTGGGAGTAAGAAAGCATTTAGTGTGAGTTATTACAACTCCACATCAGGAAATGGCTCCCCAGCTGCAGTCTTAGGCAAGAGACTCTTCTTAAAATGAAATAATTTGGGATTCATGAACTACTTCAACCTATCAGACCAGCCACAGAGCAACTCAAGCTTCTTTTTTCCCACTCTGTCTAATTCTCACAATGGTCAAAACTCCATGAGATGATGCCTGTGTGTGTATGCAGCTCTGAAGAGCTGGGCCATAGCTTTACTGCCAGGTTAAGGATGTATCATGCTCCCTGGCTGTAGAAGATATAAGAGACATCTGTTTAAAATTATTCTGGTTGTACTATTGGGAAAATGTGAGTTCAGGATGTCTGCTGTAGGCAGGATTTCACCATCGTTGGTTTTGCTCATGCATGGTATGTCCCAGGCCTGACCCTGTCGAGGTGCCAAGTGTGAATGGGCCCTTTCTTTCTGACAGAATTTCAGAATCTAATTAAAAACGCTTCTCAAACACACAGGTGTCTTGTAGGCAGTCTAAGCAGTCTGGCCTGCATAATAATTTGGGGGTTGGATTCAAGAGTGGGGGTTTATTTTGGTTCTTCAGGGCACTTTTCTGCTATTTTTCCCTCACTCACCTTCCCTGGCAGGAGCCTTATCACTGCTCTTAGCAGGCAACCCTGTGAGACAGGATGGAGAAAGAGGGAGGTTTGTGATTTTGGGGAGGCAGGGAGGAAACTGGCTATAGGGAAGGAATCTTCAACACACAGAGACAGACTTTTAAAAATAGATTCCCAAATTCTTGTTTGGGCTGCTGATAAATAAGGCCACATTGCATGGTCTGCAGAGTGAGTGTTTTGCAGTATGGATTGCTTTCAGTCATTTACTTCGCAGTTAAAGATACATGACAGGCCACAGGAGTGGTGAAATCTGACAGGAGTCTTTTTTTCAAAAGTAAAAAAGAACAAATGCACCACATAATTCACTGACGTTATTCTAGATAGAGTGCAAATATCTCTCCAGAGAAATACTTTTGTTTATAGCAGGATCTGATTTTGGCTTCTGCAGAATATAAAGCTGGTGTGGATTGCATGTGTTTTGCACACCTAATAAATGTCAAGGCACTAGATATTATACTGCTTTGTAGCCACTTGTAGCCACTTATCAATTTATTAATTTTCAGACCACCCTGCGCTGCATATATTCCTGAGTTTTCTCACCCCTATGATGGGAACAAATCCTTACTAAATACTGTACCTCACAATGAGTTTCAATTCATTCATTAATGTTTGGAAAGACCACTGAGACCATTTAATAAGTGCATAACAGAAGGAAAGAGCCTTAATTATTGTTAGATGGATGCAGGTTTAATTATCCTCACTCTGCTACCTGAGAGGTCTAGAGTTAAACTTTAGAGGCTCCAATAATTATGGTGAGGTTATGCCATTTATAGCTCAGTATGGTATAATTTTTCATGCAACAATCTTCACTTTCAAATTCAAATCTAGCTTTCTTTAATTTAAATTTTGCTGAAAAGAGGCATATTGCTACAAGCATAAATTATGGTAGATGAACATTAATGATGTCTGTTCACAGCTGTTCTTAGCTTAAATAATTACCATTCACTCCCTATGATCAATATTTTAAATGCCTGAACTATTCAATTAGGAGCACAAAATACTTCCTTCTGTTATCACTATTTAAATCAAGTCTTAACTGACATACCTGTAACATTCATGTTATAGAAAAATATGTTTGAGCTGTTGATTTATTAAGCAAATTGGTTTGTTTTTGATGAGAGATCTGAATATGTGTGGCGTTGCAAATGCACTTAAAAACCCATTGAAATTAATGCTACATTAATTACTGATTCCATGAACACTCTAGCATATGCTGGTATTAATTGCATCCATTATCACAAAA